ACAACAATAGCACAGGCCCCTTCACTTTTCAAATTAAAGAGCCTGTTAATCTCTTTATGGCAATTTATCATAATCTTTATGTGTGAGAGGACTAAACTAAACAAAAAATTATTTTATTGTGAATGCTGTACATGTGAATTGTGTCTTGTGTTTCAAATGTTGTAATATGTTAAAATGCTTTTAAATGCTTTTGTCATGTGTTGTTATAATGTCATCTCAGATTTTAAAGAGATATTTCAACCAAAAAATAGAAATCATCTGCCACTTGTTCTAAACCTATTTGAGTTTCATCTGTTGAACAAGAAACAAATATTTAAAGAATGCTGAAAACCTATCACATGTACTGTAAATGTCATGGTATTTGTTTTTCCTAATGGATGTCAATGCTAACGATTTTCAGCATTCTTTAAAATATCTTTTGTGTCCATCAGTATAGATAAACATATTTATTCATGTTTGGATCCACTTGAGGGTGTGCAAATGGTAAGAAATGTTTAATTTGTTTGGGAGAACGATCCCTTTAAGAATGAATATGCAAAGAAAACTAATCAGGCGTGAGAAATCAAACAATGAGTAACTTTAACAAACAAAGAAAAAATAGCAGACAAAGTAGAAATCAACGAAGAAAAAGTAGAAATCATGACAACAGGAAACTAACACAGGACGCTAAAATGAACAAGCTACAGTATAAACTAGACGTGACACATATGGAGAACAAAAACAATAAATAAAGAAATGTGCAAATATATAAATAAATAAGTAAATAAATGCATGAATTCCTGCATAAATAAAACAATAAATAAATAAGCTAATAAATAAATAAATGTAAATAAAAATCTGTAGATTTCATCATAAATAAATAGATAACTAATTAATAGCATAAGCAGGTAAATAATAAAAAAAATTACACTATTGTTGGGGGAAGAAGAAAATGCTAAAACTTTATCCTCCTCCCTTTCAAACGTCAAACATTCATTCTTGAACGTAGTTGTGTATTTACTTTTCCTCAGCTCAACATGCTAATGAGAGGGTGTCTGTCAATCATCCGAAGGCAGTCTTTATGCTGTCATTGGTTGTTCATTAGAAAAACTTAGCATTCTATTTTTTTTATATGATTGATAGACACCCTTTCATTAGCATGATGACCTGAGGATAAATAAATACACAACTACGTTCAAGAAATCAATAAACGTTTAAATGGGGGGAAACAACTTTAAGTTTAGCATTTTCTTATTCCCTCAACATTCGTGTAATTTATTTAAGTATTTAACTGCCCGCATAAGTATTTATATATTTATTTATGCCGAAATTTGTGGATTTTATATACATTTATTAATTTATTTTTATATTTATTTATTTATTGTTTTTGTATGTTACCTCCTCCATAGTCACATGCTAAATAATTAAATGTAAATAAATGTTTTTAAAGTTGTTATTATAAAAATAAATCATGAATATATTTATACAAATTGTTCAATAATAGATAAACTCATCATGACAAGTTCAACTGAAGTTTAACATAATTTTTAATTTTTTTTTAACAGGCAGTGTGTGGATTTACTCTATTTACCCTCCTAATTACAACACAACTGTGGCTGGAGTTCCCTACTGCGATAAGACCCTCTACTTGTTTGCATTCTGGACCACCACCCTGGGCTACATTCTGATAGGTTTAGCACTGTTAATCGGCTGCTGCTTTTGTGTATGCACTTGCATTTGTGGCTTAGCCAAAGCTTAATTAAATGTGTGGGCCATTGTAATGGATATAAATTGCAGAGCTCTTGTTGGTTGGTAAACTAAACTGAACTTGAATATGTTTACAACTATTATTTAACAGTTAAAAGTCATTTGGAAGTACTTGGTATCATTTTGAGGATTGAAATGTAAGACAACTGACGTTATTATATATATTTTTTGTTTACAATGAATGTCAATTTTGTTTTACTATTTAAGATTGTTGAAAGATGAATGGAAACTGAATAAATGACATTTTCATGACTCACCAATTTTAAAACAAATTTAAAACCAAACATTCTTCAAGCTTTTGATAATAATTTTTATCACAAAATTGAGGATATTTATATTGTAATAATTCAAAGTAAATAACAGAAATGTGGCTAAGAAAACATCCATTAATGAAAATTAACTGGTTTGCCTTATAATAGCTACAAACATATACTGTTTTGTTACACTAACCAGATTTAACCCTTTATTTGTAATTAAACTGTGGTTTTAGAAAATGTAATCAATACAACCAAAAGCAAACATCTGTGTATTGCACATTCACGAAGTTTTATAAACTAATTTTGATCTATTAGGTTTGTATTTAGAAAGCATATCTGTAATGTATTGAGGTCCTAGGCTGTTTAGTGATTTATAGACAAGTAATAACACTTTAAATTAAATATAAACCAATCAGATTAATCCAATCCTACAATAAATAGCCCATTTCACCTTACTTCCCTTGTCTTCGTTTAAGAAGAATGCCCCGTGCACCCCATCTCCCCCTTTTCCAGGGGGAGCTCTCGAGGCCTGCCTGATATCGGACCCTCCTTTTATGCTTAATGACCAGGCGGGAGCCTTGGGCTAAATTATTTTCAAGCTAAGGGTTCTCTCTAAGACAGTGTGCCAAACCTGCAATTAGTATAAATCAATATTCAAGTGTGAACTCTTGAACCTATTTTTAAATAAGCAGACATTAACAAATCATAAACACTGTATGTACTGTACTGTAAATTGCATTAAGCCTCCAAAACTTATTCTGCAATTTTTAAAGAATCAATTATAGAATGAATTTGCAAAGGGAGTGCCATGAAGAGAAGAAACTGTAAAATATATAAGTAACTTTGACCTCTGCTGTTCAGACACTGGCATGACGGCATCTATTGCACTAAACAGGGAGGAATGAACAAAGAGAGCTCATTTTAATCACAAATCAAGAAACGAATAAAAACTCAACTATTTAGTCTCCACTTTCCTTCCTAATCTGCAATTGCCTCTCTGGCTATACCACTAACTGTACTTTCGCTCAAAAAATAAAAAATAAAAAAAAAACTTACATTAACCTATACAATGCTTTGCTTCTTAGATTTTACACACCTAAAACTTGCCTATAGCACTTATTCATTGTTACTCTTATAGTTGTGCAAATTGCTTCCTTGTCCTCATTTGTAAGTCGCTTTGGATAAAAGTGTCTGCTAAATGACTAAATGTAAATGTAAATTATTAGCAAATTTCTTTTAGGAAGACATACTGTAGACATGCCTTTATTTAGAAATGTGAGCCAAATTTTCATATAAATGCATATCAACTGAAAAGTTGGAAAACATTCATTCAATGCTTTCACTGAAAAAAAAAAAGATTTCTGCTAAGTAGTTTTTAACAATTTATATGGGTTGAATTTAAACAAACAAATTAAATTTTGATTAAATTCAGCCCAAATAAATTGTTTACAACCAAAAAATTGTTTACAAACCAATATTTGAATCCTTTTATTTTCAATGTTGGATGTTCATAGACATTTAAACGTAGACATTTGAAAGAATAGTTTACAAAGGTTTGTAAAAATGTACACACCCTCTATGAGCTTCCTTTTTTGTTGAACACAATAGAGTTTTTTTTAAAAACATGTTAGAAGCCTATAACTACTGATGTATAGTTACAAAATGAAGGATTCCAACATTTTTTAAATATCTTCTCTTGTGTTCAACAAAACAGGTTTGTGACAGACGAAGGTCTAATAAACACAAACTATTCCATAGTGCCTTTAAAGCTAGTGATGTGACACCATTTATGCTTAGTTTAACGTTTTTTCTATTTAATGTTTACTTCATAAATTCATAACTTTTTTTAAATTAGCACAAAACAAAAAAACAAACAGTTGCACAAAAAAAATTATATATATATATATATATATATATATATATATATATATATATATATATATATATATATATATATATATATATACATACAACAGTTCTATCTGGTTCTCGAATCTGATTGGCTGAAAGCCATGCGATATTCTGCAATATCAGAACTCCTACAGCCTCTTTACCCTTTGTGTATTACTCCGCACACATACAGCCAGCAAAAGTCAGAAACTACAGATCTAAAGTTTAAAAGATGCTTTTAACTGTTTTAACAGCTGTTTTACTCAGCTTATGATTTGAATCCAATGCGGAAGAAAGTAGTTCCTCATACAAAAGGGTTTTTGAGACTCTCCATGTGTGATTTTGTTTTTATATACACAATTATGCCGTCAAACTGTTGTATAAACGCAATATCACACTCGTAGCAGTGCAATATGGCTGTATATTGGCACTGATGGGGGCACTAAGACACTCCCCTGCGGCCTCGTGCCAACGCACGCCACCCGCCACTGACGATATACAGCCACATCGCACTGCTACGAGTGTGATATTGCTCATATATATATATATATATATATATATATATATATATATATAGCTGAAGTCTGAATTATTAGCCTCGCTGAATTATTAGCACCCCTGTTTTTTTATTTTTTTGAAAAAATTCAAAGGGGTGCAAATAATTCTGACTAAACTAAACTAAAATAAATAAATAAAAATTTTAAAAGGAAAATGCGAAAAGATTTACGATACACATAAAAAGCCAACCATGCAGTGTGTAATAGCAAAAAGGTTCTGTATACCTTAATACAAGCAAGTCCATTGTGAAAAGCATTACAAGTTTAGGCTATTGTGAGAGGAAAGAAAAAAAAGATGGGGGGGGGTGCAGGGGGACCTTTTAAGATAGGATATAGGATTAAATATCCTATCTCTTCTTGAACTTCTGAGAGTAAATTTGATGTTTTCAAGCTGAATAAAATACATCACGTCTTTGATTCATCTATTACACAGGTGTCAAACTCAGTTCCAAAAGGGCCGCAGCTCTGCACAGTTTAGTTCCAACCCTAATTAAACACACCTGATCAAACTAATTGAGTCCTTCAGGCTTGTTTGAAACCTACAGGTAAGTGTGTTGGAGCAGGGTTAAAACTAAACTGTGCAGGGCTTTGGCCCTCCAGGAATTGAGTTTGACACCCCTGATCTACTATGTGTTGGGCGCTCAATAGAGAAGAATTAAACGCCTTGCCAATAGTGTGGTGAAAGCAATTAGTCTGAATATTTCTTCTTTAAGTACAATATTTTCAGGGGTTCCAAAAATTGCCAATAGGGCTTCGGGTTTAAAAAGGAAACCATACATGAAACTAACAATTTAAAACATATATTTTCAAAACCTACCTAGATTTGGGCTGAACACAAACATGTAGGCAGTTGTGGCTGGTGAATTTCCTGTTACTTTTTAAAAGAATTGTACTGAAATCAAACTTCTGAAGACTTGTTTTATTTCTGTTGTTGGTTTTAGTTAAGACATGGTGAATGTAAAAAATATTTTGAGGTTCTGTCCTCAGCAAATTACAATCATACACTGATCTCATTGATAAGGAATTAATTGTGTCCTTTGCTTTAAATTTGACTACAACTGAGAGGCTGAAACATGTTTCAACTGCAGCATTACACCAGAGATTACTCAAGAGTTTTTTTGAGTCACTTAGGAAATGCTGGAGATTCTTACTTCAGACAGATAATACCAGCGTTTCACCATTTTCTTTATAAAGTTAAGGTGAAGGCCAGAACACACAGTAAACAATGATGCTGTTTAAAACCTGATAGAAGGTACAGGAGTAAAATCTGAGGTAAGAAACCATTAATGAACGTGTATTATAGATCTCTGTGTTCCACTTTAATAAACTCTGTTGTTTAATGCCACAATTAATTAATAACACTATTGTTAAGTTTAATGTTTCGTATTTTTTATCTCAAAGAAGTCTTTGTATTTATCCAGCAACTGTGCTTTACTGAAGATGGACAAATCAAAGCCATCACCTTTTTTGACACCACTTTTAGGTGAGAATCGTGTTTAAAACTTGTTTCTCTTGTATCTCTGCATATATCAATGTCTGATTCTATATTGATGTAAAACAATAATAATAAAATGCTTGTCTGAACAATCTTACAGTGATATTAACTCTTGTTGTCCTGGGAGTTTTGACTGCTGCCATTGGAATAGGTAAATTATTTATATGCATTTATATACCTCAGCACTGTTGTCTAGAAATGCTGTCACTGTAAATAAATAACAGCAATTTAAAAACATATTTCATTGTAATATATTGACACATTGTACAGTAAGGAAACATATTTGTTTTATTATAATATCTTTTTTAGGAGCCAACTTTCTAAGAGACTGTCCTGTTCAGCCTAACATCCCCGTCTACCTCATAGTCTTAGGCGTATTTGTTTTGCTGGCTTTGATTGGGAGCCTGGGCTTACTGTATGGTCTACATGCTAAAGACACCTATGAGATGCTGCTGTTGTCTGCGCTGGTCATCTCCGTCAGCTTCATACTTTACCTGTTTATAGTCTGCTGGTTCATCACAGGTGAGTGCCGAGAATTTGTCAAATGAGAATTACAGGAGAAGCGGTGTTACTTAAGTAGTTGCTTAAATTACTTTTCTGCTGAAAAATGCCAAATAAGGGATTTACTTAGGTAACATATTAGATATGTTTATGTATAATCATTCATTCATTCATTTTCTTTGGCTTAGTCCTTTCATTTATTCAGCATATGTTTTACACAGCGGATGCCCTTCCAGCTGCAACCCGGTACTTGGAAACTTACATTCACACACATACACTACAGCCAATTTAGTTTATTCAGTTCATTCATTCCTATAGTGTATGTCTTTGGACAGTGGGAAAAACTGCACCCAGAGGAAACCCACGTTGAACATGGGCAGAACATGCAAACTTCACAAAGAAATGCTGACTGACCCAGCCGGGACTCAAAACAACAATCTTCTTACTGCGAAGCGACAGTGCTCAAAATATTTTGCTCAAAATATTTATTCGAAATGAGCTGAAATAACACAATTCTTGACAGTTTTTTGGGACAACAAATTAGTTTTATCAGTTTGTGTTGGGCCAATATGAATGAATTGTGTTGAAACCCTATTTTTTACAGTGTCCAGCAGTTGCCCTAAATACTAGAAACTAAATACTAAATACTACAGAAGAGTAATATATATTTTGCAGAACATTTCTATGTTTCACCTAAAGAAGAATATTCATAATTAATAGACAATTGTTTATGTCTAAGTAAAAATATAATAATTGAGAAATTATTTCATGACAAACGCATAAATTCAGAGAAGCAGAGTAATTGCAAAATATTCAGATATCATAACTTAATTTCTCAAATAAAGGTTTTCGAGAACTCAGGTTCAGATTCAAAGAACTAAAAGATTCTATCATTTGTGGATTTTTAATACTGAGTCAAATACTCTGAGTAAGCTACTTTTCAGAACAAGTAATTAGAAAAGTAATTTAAATACAATTTTATTTATTAATTCATTCATTTTCTTTTCGGCTTAGTCCCTTTATTAATCCAGGGTTGCCACAGCATAATGAACTAGGACGGCGATGCAGTGGCACAGTAGGTAGTGCTGTCGCCTCACAACAAGAAGGTCGCTGGTTTGAGCCTTGGCTGGGTCAGTTGGTGTTTCTGTGTGGAGTTTGTATGTTCTCCCTGCGTTCGCGTGGGTTTCCTCTGGCTGTTCCGGTTTCCCTCACAGTCCAAAGACTTGCGGTACAGGTGAATTGGATACAGCCTAAATGTCCATAGTGAATGAGTGTGTATGGCGGGGTTTCCCAGAGATGGGTTGCAGCTGGAAGGGCATTTGCTGCATAAACATGTACTGGATAAGTTGGTGGTTCTTTCCGCTGTGGCGACTCCTGATTATTAAGGGGACTAAGCTGAAAAGAAAATGAATGAATGAATGAATGTTGGGACAGGCGATTGTGGGAATGTTAATTCACAGTTCACTTACAACACTGAAAATAATTATGTCTGCAAAGTTGTAGCAAACAACGTATTTGGGTTAAATTTAAACAAACAAATTTAATAGAGAAATGTCCAACCTAATTTGTTTGATTAAATTCAGCCCAAGTTAAATGCTTTTATCCATTTAACTTAAATAAATTTAGCAGATTCAAAGAATCATCTTTGAATTTTTTTTCAGTGAAGGGATGAAAAGCGAAAAAATCAGATGTGAGGAAATATTTTGCTCAACTAAAATGTTTTCTCTGTGTATTGCAGGAAGTTTCTGGATATATTCTGTTCATCCCCCAAGTTATGACCCAACAACTGAACAGAATTACTGCAACAAAACTCTTTACCTCTTTGCTTTCTGGTTGAATACAGTCTGTTATAGCTGCCTACTAGCTATCTTGTTTCTTTGTAGTGGATGTACAGTGCTTCATATATGTGTAAAACCTAATTTTCAAAGACCACCTTCAAACTCTCAGTTAGAAGTGTGAGATTATTTCTTTTTGCATGTATCATGATTGTATTTCAAGTCCATTCAGAGGACTAATGTTTTTACTAAGAATCAAACCCATGGTCTTCATATCCTCTATCCTGTATCTTCTACCAGTGTAGGGGTACAACAAAAGTAATGTTTACCATGAACTGATTTGACATAATCAATATAGTTGTATAGTTCTGTGTTTAAATGCACATCATAATGAAGACCTGATTGTAACTTGGAAATCATTGATGTTAATATGCAGTATATTTGCAGTGTAAAATATTAACAACATTAATATTTTATAAATTAAAGATTCTTTTAAAAGGGGGTTTGTCCTGTTTCAGTTTGAGTTTGCTTACTCAACATTTCACCAAAGGAAGTGTTTCAGAGCTTCTGGGCAAGTCTGTAAACCACAGAACTGTGAAAACATACTGCTTGACTAAGAGCAACTGCGCAGTTTAACTTGGATGTCTTATTCACATCTTCTTTATGGAGGTCATTCTGCTCCTATTTAAACGTCTAGTTTCCCCCACAAACGTGTCAAATTAAAAAGAGAACTTTATCAGTAATTAATTAAGGAGCTGCGGAAGATGGAGATGACCGAGACTGCAGCCAGAAAATCTTTCATTGGTAAGAACGCCAGCAAAGCTCATGATGTAAATAATATAACTACTAATAAACTACAAACAATAAGAAAGCTTTGTTCTTTTTTTCAGTGATGATTAACATGATTGCATGGATGATTTTAATATCAGCTACTGGATTAGGTAAAGAGCACGTTTTGCATCTTCTTTCTCAGTAATTCATTATTTTATCAGTCTGGAATCCCATGAAGGCTTGTTTTTAACTAATTGTGGGTATGTTGATTCACAACCAATTAAAAGGGACAATTGTTTTCACACTACTGGAAGACATATTTGAGTTTTGTCTTATTTCTGTTTGGATAAATGTTTTAGGAGCAATCCATTATCATGAATGTCCTGTTCAGCCCAAACTCCCACTCTATGTGACTGTGATCGGTGTGACTGGTCTGCTTTCACTGCTGCTCATGTACCTGAGAAACTCTCTAGATGATTGTCTGTTGGCTCGCTTGTGCAGTGCCGTAAGCCTGATGCTCTACATGTTCATTGTGTGCTGGTTTTTTACTGGTGAGGAAAACATACGTTAGGCTGCATTATATACAGTTGAAGTCTGAATTATTAGCCCTCCTGAATTTTTAGCCGCCCTGTTTATTTTCACCAATTTCTGTTTAATGGAGAGCAGATTTTGTTGATAATAGTTTTAATAACTCTTTTCTAATAACTGATTTATTTGATCTTTGCCATTATGACAGTAATAATTTTTTTACTATATATTGTTCAGGATACTATTATTCAGCTTAAAGTGACATTTAAAGGCTTAACTAGGTTAATTAGGTTAACTAGTCAGGTTTGGTTAATAAGGAAAGTTATTGCATAACAATGGTTTGTTAGACAATCGGAAAAAAACAATAATGACCTTAAAATGATTTTACAAAATTAAACACTGCTTTTATTCAAGCCAAAATAAAAGAAACAAGACTTTCTTTAGAAGAAAAAATATTATAGGAATTACTGTGAAAAATTCCTTACACTGTTGAACATAAATTGGGAAATATTTAAAAAAGAAAATAAATTCACAGAAGCGCTAATAGTAATACTGACTTCAACTGTGTATGAATGTCCTTTTATGAACATTTTACTAATATTTAGTGAAACGTGTCAACAATCATCTCTGTTGTTCTTTCAGGAACCTACTGGATTTACTCCATTTATCCTCCCAACTATGACCTGACTAGTACTGGAGACCACTGTCACAGAACCCTGTATCTGTTTGCATTTTGGTTTAACAATCTCTGCTTTATGTGTGTGTCAGTAATATTTGTTTTTTTCATGTACACAATTTTATATAACTGTACTATTGTTTTATTTACCAATAGAACTGAATGTTAAGCTGCAAACCACTGTAAAGAGTTACTAGTTAAAGTGATATTTCTACCTTTTTTAAAGTTGCTGGAATAACAAGTATTTATGTGGATTTGTTACAGTGCTCAGCATATATGAGTACACCTTCACAAATCTGTCTTTTAAATAATACTTTTAATAGGAAGCTATACAATATTATATTTGTGCATATACACAAATAAGCCGAATCTGGAGCTTATCTAACAAAATGACTGAGGATAAAGGTCCAAAAACTAGTACAGACAAATTTGTATGTAATAGAAAAATATTGAATTAAAATTTTAAAAAGAGTAAAAATCAAGAGAAGCAAAAATGACAAAATTTGAAATTTGAAAAGTTGAAATAGTTTTTGCATTTTTTTTTACTTGTATTTAATTGTTTTATCTTTCAATTTCTAAATATGTCCGGTGACTAAAATCTTATTTTAATAAATATATCTGTTTAATAAATCTGTTTTGTTTAAATGCTCCAAAATACATTGGCTATATTCACAGAGAAATGGAGAAAATAATATGTTTTTAAAAATGGAGTGTACATAAAATATGTAATTTATCCTGAATGTACCAATTTTACGTTACCATTTTCAGTTTTTTAAACATTAACATTGTTTGAAAGTTAGAAACCAAGTTATGTTCATCTACCTAAAACATGATATAATGATATAATTTAACACAAATGCAAAATGCTTACCTCATTTACAATGACACCAACGTATGATAAAGATTAAATATTCCTTATATATATATATATATATATATATATATATATATATATATATATATATATATATATATATATATATATATATATATATATATATATATATATATATATATATATATATATATATATATTGCAATGTTAATAACTTACTGTGAACAACTGTAACTGTCAATATAAATTAAAATTATATATACAAAAGTGCTGAATTATTCAATAGTGAGCAGTAAATAATATATACTGTAATATTTTCCGCTGTATGAACAATTCATGAGAGGTTTGTCAGCAAGGAGGTCTGTAATAGGTTGTTAGGGTCATTTGCCCCGCCCCGACACTTACGCGAGGTCACAGTTTGTCCTGTCACAGCGCCCGTCCCAGAAATGCCATTATTCCTGCATGGAGGCAACAACAACAACAATTCTTCGCCAAAACTACTTCATATTTTAAAAACAGGCTGTCTATAGGACAATATCTAGTCCTTGCTAACGAGACGGTTGGTTGTCATGGCTGGTAGGTAAACATTTAGTTCAATGTACAGATACAGGCACTCCGCGCGGATCTGCATTTAGTGCATGTTACCTAAATGTTTGGCATGTGCAGGTAACTTGATCTTGCCCCCAATGCAGTCTGTTTTACGAGTTGAAAGAACAAAGCTGAATTGTTTATGTTGAAGTCCCACATACGTTTTGCAAAACCATAATCACAAAGTTTTATGTTGAGCAAAGTTAAATGAAGCCCCCAAACGTATCAGCGCGGTGTTTTGAAGAGTGTTTGTTTTGTCGCGTAACGTTAATTTTGTCATTTTTGTTTCTTTTACTGTTTTGGCATAACTGCTGTCATAACATTTGTCATGTAACTTCTGGTTAAGTCGCGGAGCTGGTGGCAAAATGCTTGCAGGCACGGGAAATGGCTTACTGTCCGTACAGTGGGTTTCCAGTCGGTGCCGCCATTTTGACTACAGGGGGCGCCATAGTCACTGGTGGGTGGATGCACCTGTTTAATTTTATTGTGTGTGACACCATGATTCCAAAGCATTTAATCAGCCATATATGACAGCGTGTTTCCTGTTAGAGTGATTTTTGACATTCCTTGTATGTTTTAGGCTGTAATGTTGAGAATGCCTCTTATGGTCTTACCGTATGTGCGGAGAGAACTGCGATACAGAGAGCGGTCGCAGAAGGCTACAGAAGATTTACAGCCATAGCTGTCACATGGTAAATCTTATGTACAAAATGTTCGTGAAATGATCATATGTTGTCAGCAGGACTGGTTCCAGTAGTAAATTTTCCAGTAAGGGTACAATCTACAATCCCACGAGGCACTGGGCAGTTAAATTACACAATTGAGGGAAAAAAAACAAAGTTATTGAATATATATATATATATATATATATATATATATATATATATATATATATATATATATATATATATGTATGTATGTATGTATGTATGTATGTATGTTTAAGAGTTATTGAAAGATATCCATATGTTTGCATGTTTTATCAGAGTTACAAGTATTTCAGTCTGATTTTATTGGGGATTTGTCATAGTGCTTTATGGCATTGTTTAAAGCTAAATAGCTTTGGTGGAACAGTGCATTATTAACTTTCTGCGTAAATATAAGAATTGGTTTTAAATAAAGTTTTATAAATGTGCAATATACAATCATTTAACAACTGCAGAGCAATTATTAGATGGTGTCAAAAATACTTTTTTGTTTAAAACTTTACCTCTGGAGCACAACTCTATATTTGTTTTACTGAAACATTTCACTTTGATTCTCTGAGAAATCGCTGAGATTTTAAGTTTGTTCATAAAAATGATCTATCTTTTCATCTGACCAACAGTGATATCAAAGATAGTTTTGTGGGACCGTGCGGAGCTTGCCGACAGGTATTAATGGAGGTATGGCTGCACACCTATTTGATCAAATATGTCAGTTATTACTCTTGTATATAACGGTCATTGCCCTCTACCTTTTTAATTTTGTTAATTCTTTTTTTTATTTTCATATTTTTCCTCACCTACCTTACATCTTGTCAGTTTGGCACTGAATGGGACGTTTACCTCACTAAGCCAGATGGAAGCTATAGGAAAACCAGTCTCAGAGATCTCTTGCCTTTAGCTTTCACACCGGCTCACCTGCAAAAGAACTGAGCGCAATAACCCTTTTGGTTTTTATGTATTGGGATTTGATTTGCTCTTTGATCTAAAATGTGAAGAATGTGAATTTCCTTGTAATATATGCTTGAGGAGTTTGCCTATTAGCTATAACTGGCCTGTGTTGATGTTAGGGCCCAAACGTGAAAATTCTCTCATCGTTTACTCACCTTTTGTTTCTGTTATGTGCCTGGGGGTGTTGCTTTGTTGTTCCCTCTACCCCTTTCTGTTTTTATTTGCTGTCTGCTATCCTTTTTAAGATCTTAAGCTATCCTTCTCAAACCTTAATGTGTTTCTTTCTTCTGCTGAACACAAAGAAGATATTTTGAAGAAATCTGGAAACCTGTAACCATTGTTTTTTGTAGCATTTATTTTTCGGAAGATAAAGGTTACAGGTTTTCAGCTTTCTTCTAAATATCTTTTGTTTTTAACAGAAGAAAGAAACTCATAGAGGTGGGGAACCACCTGAGGGGGAGTAAACGGTGCATTTTCATTTTTAGTTAAATCCTGCCTTTAAAGTCCCTATGAACTGGAAGCTGTGGTCGTTATTCTTTTAATACTCTGCCGCAGTTCCTTGAGAAGCTGAATATTAAATGAGAAAACAGTGGGTGTCTTTGTGTTTTCCGCTGCAAGCTGATTGGATGCAGTAAAGTAGGCATTTTATTCATAAAGATGGGGAAAGTGTTTGAGGAGAGTTATTACAAGATACCTCCTGCTCACCTTTTCTGTTTGTTGTCAAAACTGACCGTTGCAGCAGCATGGTTAAATATGTAAGCCACAACCAATTCCTAAGATATACAAAACCTGACAATTTAACTGAAAACCAACAGGAAGTTCATTTTCAGATTTAAATTAAAGATTATAAGGGCAAACTATTTTTCATTTTCTTAATGAAAGATGAATTGTTCACCACAAAACTAGCAATGTGAACTACTGTAACAAAATCATATGGTGAGTTTTGATTTCTTGGGGACTTTTAAGGCCATTCCTGTCACAACATCACCACTAGAGAGCACTGCACACCCTGAAATGTTCTCAAGCCTGTGTTCAAATCCAGTCCATGATAATGGCCAATGATTCCAGTGTTCCTAGTTTTGTTGAATATCAGCTACATAGACAAAATAAATAAAAGGTAAAGGTTATTTAAACCTGTAGAGTTATGCTTTGTTTTTTTTAAATATTTCAACACATATGCTTCTGTTGTTTTTTAAGAAAGTCTAAACCAGGGGTGTCCAAACCAAAGAGCTTAGACTCACAATCATGATTCTGTGCTCTTTGTCCAAACTCAGTCCTACAGGGCCTGAATCAGAAAGAGCTTCAGAATCAGAACGAGCTTTAATTGCCAGGTATGTTTGAGTAATTACACATACGAGTCATTTGTTTTCGTGACAGAGCTTCTACAGTGCAACAGAATGACAGAGGCAGGACAAAAACAGATAATAAATATATTTTAAAAATAGAAGTAAATATTGAATGCAAATATACAAATGGACAAGTGTATGTGCAGGTATATCACTCTATACAATGTTATATGTACAGCTGTTATGTGCAAATTGTAAAGTATGTTAAATAAATAAGTGTTTATGTGTACAAAAAGTTGTGATGTTTGTTTCACAGTTACTATCATAAGGTGTTTATGAGATGGATTGCCCGAGGGAAGAAACTGTTTCTGTGTAAGGCTGCTCTGGTGCGCAGTGCTCTTTAGTGTCTACCAGAAGGTAAAAGTTTAAAGAGGCAGTGTGCTGGGTGTGAGGGGTCCAGAGTGATTTTGGTAGCCCTTCTGCTCACTCTGCTTACAAGTAAAGTTCTTGGGCAGTAGGGAGGGTTGTACCAGTGATTCGCTCAGCAGTCTGAACTATCCGACGTAGACTTCGGAGGTCATATTTGGTAGCTGAGCTAAATCAGACAGTTATTACAGTGCAGAAGACTGCTTCAATGATCGAAGTGTGGAACTCTATTAGCAGCTTATTTTGAAGGTTGAACTTCCTCAGCTTATGAAGAAAGTATTTATATTGCATAACAATAGATTGAAACTGTTGAATGTTTGACACAAAAAATATAAATTGATGCATTAATATTGTTCAGAGATGTGTAAAAAAAATGGTAACATTTGGTAATGTTTGTGACTGACAATTCAAATGTGTTCTGCATTAAAAGCCAGGTAAGGCTCAATAGAATATATATTTTTATCCTATAGTAAAGGCACAGTAAAGTGATCGAAATTAGCAGTAATGTACTTAATATTTTCAAAATATGTAAAGTGTAAATGTACAATGTTAAAGATATAATTGGTAAAGTTTAATATAATGTTTTTAAAGAAGTATCAGGGTTTTTGCTAAATTTTAACCATAACAGTTTTTTCCAACTATGAAAAACTATTTTTAACTATTAATATTAATTCTGAATGATCATGTGACATTTCAGTAATATTCCACAATATTACCATTTTTACTAGTCTTCAGTCATGATGAACACAGGAGACTTTTGTCAGAAACTTTTTTTTACATTCTAAAAATGAAAGGTTCCAGTGGTGGATTAGCAGTGATGAAGCCGTAGACTAAACATTATGCCATAAAAATCATTATGGATTCCAAAAAGAACATTTCGACCTTCATCTTTATTTTTTATTTATGTGAAGAAGCATTTTAGATAAATATCCAAGAATGTTTGGTGCAATGTAAAGATTATGTAGAGGTTAAAGCTGCTTTATTTCGTGTTTTCTTTGTATTTATATTGTATTGTGTTGTAACTGTAAACTTTTCAAACATAAAAGTAACAATGGATAGCATCTATTTGGACAGAGTGATTTTAGACATTAGAGCACTGTAGGATTCATGAAAAACAGCTTGATAGAGACAGTTTTCCAGTAGAGAGAGAGTTATTGGTAATCCCTGTGACCCTGGTGCCCGGGGCTGTTTGAAATTCTCCTCACTATGAGGCAGAGGGGCCAACATACTGTTCTGTCACATGGGAACAACACTCACACATTGTTCCCTTAGTAGGCTGTGAGGGGAAAGTGAACATTATTAGTTGGCAGGAGAGCTACAATGAAAAAGAACAAGTCTGTTTTTTTAGCATTAATTCACCAAACTAAAATAAAAAATTAAGAAAAGGTTTGACTATGCAATACATTACAGTTTATTTCATGATATAAAGTTGGTCAAACAGACTACACAGTGCTATCAGTCTGACATTTTGCAGAAAATGCAAACTTATTTGTACACTAATTACATAACAAGCATATGTGTACATACCAACACAGTAAAAATTGTATAAAAAACAAAGAGAGAAAAAAAATGTAAAATGAAATCTATTTGCATAAAGAAACCACCATGTGCTCTTAAAGCCTGTGGCTTTTGCTACACTTTAACGATTTTTTATTTTATTTTTTATTTTCTTTCTTTTTTTCTGGGTGCTTAACAGTAATATTATTGTTTTTATAAGATTGTGAAACAGCAGAAATATAGCCTATCTTTTCTTTTTTCTTTTCTTTTTTTGGTGGGTGCGCAACAGTATTATTAGCAATTTGTTTTTTAAAGATTGTGAAACAGCAGAAATATAGATTGATTACTTTAGATTATCAGTTGTCTCTGACACAGTTTCCTTTGTTACAAAGTACAGACGACTCACACCGAGGCTTTATGACATGATGGTTGTGCAGTAAATGTTATTGCGCTTTTTAAGTCGTGTCTGAAAAGGCGCATTTATAAGTATTTTTTCCGTATTTTCCATCTAGGAAAGTGTATTGATTTCCACGAGGATGTTTGCAGGATGAATTCCTGTTCACTCAAGTGAACTCAGGCTTATTGATGCGCTCAACAGGGAACATTTAAGGGGGAAACTCCTGAACTTGAATTACAGTATGATACAATGATTAAGGGTTAACCTGTCGTGCATGTTATATTCATTTAATTAAAATAGGTATTTGTCCTTAATGCAAAAGTTTATCAGTTAATATAATTTGTTTCAAAGTCCCTTTTCATTTCCCTCTTAGATAGTGAAGGGGCGGGCGCGAGAGAGTCGCACTATATAAAGCGGATTGACCGTCACATCTACTTCTGCGGCGTTTACAGCGGGGGTCCGGCTTGAAACAGAATTATTGAAGGTATGCCTCGTACAATTGTTCATATTTAGGCACTATTTAGTTCAGTTAAACCAGTAAATAATAAAAGAGTTTTCAGGAAAAACAAAGAAGCTAGACTAAAGTTTATCATGTGAATACATTAAAGACGCTTCCAATATTATTTTACTTGTTTACTTGTGCTTAATTATCAAACTACGTTTTACAAATAAAACAAAGTGTCCTTCTGGAAATGATAAGAGTTGTTTAACTGACAGTGCTGAAACTACTATCAAACAAACAATGAACAAAGAAGACGAGATGAAGGAAGTAGAACTGAACGAGATGGATCAGGAAAAACAGCCGATGACCGGCGAAACTCCGACAGGCACCGAAAAAAACGGCAGCGTAAAGGTCAAAGTGCCGGAGGACGCAGAAGTCAAATTTACGGGCCTCTCTAAAGAAGAGTTGATGAAAGTCGCCGGTACAGCTGGGTACGCTATTTAACTATCTTATACATTGCTTTATATAAGCTGTTTGTTTGATGTAACTATTGCCTGTCATCTGCAGTTGGGTTCGGACTCGTTGGGCTTTACTGGTTCTATTCTGGCTTGGTTGGGTTGGCATGTTAGCTGGAGCAATAGTAATCATAGTACAAGCTCCACGCTGTAAACCCATTCCTGAAATGCACTGGTGGAATGAAGGTCCTCTGTACCAGATATCAAACTTGGATGCCTTCTCTAAGAATGGACTGAAAGGTATGAATGAATGTCTATATTTTCAACACCCCTTAACAGGTATCAACTGCCGAATATGCAGTAATTTAGACGCCTTGCTTGGGTAACATTATGAAAACACTGTGGGGGGAAGCAGATTTGCTGATGCCGTGGATAAGCCAGAAGAGACTGACTGTCTTGTGACTCCCTCATGTGAGAAAGCATGTGCTGACCTATGCAAGATTCTGTTCCCAATCACATAGTTGTGATAAGTTTGCTTTCCCACACGGCTACATCATAGATTTAGATGATCAAGTACAGTGACCTTAAACCCTGATATCTTTAGGTGTGCACAAGCTATATCATCAAAGCAGATTAATGATTAAAAGGTGCCCTGAATTCTGTGGCTATAGAGATAACTGAAGGAGGCAGTACTGATGACTGTTGCTCATTCATTTCCTCTTTTTTTTAACCCCTTTCTCATCTGTAGGAGTGGAGGAGAAGTTGGACTATCTGAGTCAGATGAAGGTGAAGGGGCTTGTTTTGGGTCCAGTACATTCTGTGCAAGCAGACCAGTCAAGCGCACTTGAACTAACTTCCATTAACCCTGATTTTGGCTCTGAGAGCGAGCTGACTTCTCTGCTGGACCGAGCACATAGAAAAGGTGAACTCACTAGTTTGTTTTGAAGGTTTTCGAATTGAAATATCAGCCAAGGTCACTTTTCCAGACACATAATAGGTCACTGGATAGATCTAATCATCATAGGCTCCTGTTGTTCTGTTCTAGAGGAAGGCTGTCTGAAATAACAATCAGCTGTCAGTTTAACCTCTGACCTCCTCTCTTGTTTCTCACTACGCTGCATTAATTTTAAAAGGATTTTTCATGAGTCATTTACCATCAAGTATTTCCTTACATATTCTACAAATATACATTATGCGATTTAAAATAAAACTTTATAGTCTTTCTTGGAATTGATTCACCACGTTTATTTAGCTAGAACACCTGCTTAGTTTCGTGCAAATAAAGCAATATGCCTTTAAAAAAGGCTTCATACAAAGCAAACATTAGGCTGTTAAACTCCAGAAATAGCATTTAACAGCCTTCTGGTTTGTTGACTTTTTCCCTCCTCTCCTCTTTCCCTCTCAGGAATCTCCATAGTGCTGGATCTAACACCCAATTATCGTGGAGTTTCATCCTGGTTTAACAATGCTGCTTCTGTTGCCGAGAAACTCAAAGTAAGTGCAGATATATTCATGTAGACAGTCAGTTAGACACCTTAGTGAGGGAACAGATTAAACAGATTTAGAGATGTATAAAGGGCAGAGTAAAAAAAAGATATTTGCATGTACTGTAAACACAGAAGAGAGTTTTGGGATAGTAAGAATTGAAGAGGGGTTGTTCCTCAAATCAATAAAAATTAGAACATTTTGTTAAACAATATTAAGAACCACAACCACACGTCTAAACTGTTTTCGGTTTATTAGTAGATTTATAAACATATCAAACGGCTAAATTTTGCATGCACTGAATGATATTCTAACACTTGTATTACATTACATCATGGTCATAAGCTTCTTTAATCACATTGAAACCTACTGATTCAAAATATAAACAAGCATTTCAAATTATGGACTTAAATCCTAGGCGATGGCATCATTGTGAGGTTTTACGTAAACATAATTTTTTTAGCTTTGCTAGTTTTACTAAATTGAATTATCTTACATTGGTTTTTAAATGTTAAAGTAGTCATGTTTTCAGTGCTGTTTTCTGATCTAATCAGCAGGTATCAAACCTCCCACAGAGTCACTCGAGCAACTGCTAATGGTGACTGTCTTGTGCAGCACCTCAGTTTGTTTTCCAAGGGAATCAAACTGTGGAATTTACCTGTTAGCCTAAAATTAGGAAGTAATATAAATGTTTTTAGTTGTGCACTTAAAAAGTGGTTAAAAACAAAACAGCCGTGTTTATACAAATAGTCACTATTAGTTTGTTTGATTATGCTGCTTTTGCTTTTGGCTTAAAGCAATTTTATATAAAGAATTATAATTATGTGTATGTATTTTACTATTTAACAATGTATTTTCATTTTATGTCAAGCCTCTCGTGGATAGGTGTTGAGAATTAGTAAGTCTGCTAAAACACTCAAATGCACTTGGTGTAATTGTGATGTCCACGTCAAAATAATATAAAAATTTGTTTTAGCAGTGAAAATTGTTTCTTGAGCAAAAAAATAAATAAATCAGCATATAAAATTTAGTGATACTAAATTAGTGAAAGTTTAGTGATACTGAGATTAGTGACATCTGAAAATTGAGTTTTGGCATCACAGGAATACAAAAACATTAGTAAACATTTATTGTAAATTGAGGTTTTTAATTTAATATTATTAGTTTTCTTTCTTTATTACTCTTACTGACTCCAGACTTTGTGTATATGTAGTGTAGTTTATAGTTTAGTGTATATGGAAACTAAACTTTTTTTATCTACTTTGGGTGATGTCATTATAATTCTGTATTTTATATTTGTGCGTAGTCATATAATCAGATATATGTGTTCCACTCTGTGTTTTTATTGTAGAAAGCCTGTGTATACTGGCTAAATAAGGGGGTGGATGGCATCTTCTTATCCGATCTGAATGACATCGTGAATACATATGCTTGGTCATCTATCCAAGCTATATTCAACAAAACTGATGGGACCCCAAAAAAGTATGTGACGCTATAATTGAGGTTTGGTTATTGGGTCTTGTGAGGTAGAAATCTGTTTAGGTAACACAGACTTATTTCCCACAATTTTTTTTACAGACACTAAGCTCTACACTAAGCTACACATCTTATTCTGCAAACAAATGATTATATATATAGGCTACAGGAGGCTTTGTACTTCACTCGTGTTCCAGTTAAACATGAGTAAATAGTAAATATTACGGCCATTATAGGCTCAATGAAACATTTATTTTTATCATACAGATATGAACAATTCAAATATTTAATGGGTTTGCGTTAATTTGTGTATAACCTACTCTCCCAAAACACAAAACATTGTGCAGTTTTAAACCAACAAGATAAAGTTTTTCCTCTCCATCCACAGATTTAGTCTACTATAGGAAGTAGGCTCTGTTGTTAATGCTAACATTTGATTTTATTTTAATTTAACATTTTCATTTTATATGTTAGTTAATGACTTTACAATAATAAAATGAAATAAAAAAAATATGTAATAAAACTTAACAAACACCTCAAACTGTCATCTGAGATGTTGAGCGTTTGATTTCCGCTGTTATATCTGACATGTCATTCATTACATTTTGAGAGGAATGAAATTTACATGTGGTTTGCTGGTTTAAACAACTAAATGCATTTAGACTCACTCAGTTTCGTCTGGAGTTAATCTCTGAAGTGGTCTGAGTGAAAATGACAGGTGTAAATGCCCCCGAAACACATTCAAGATGAATATAACCGAATATCTATCTGGTCAGGAAAAAAGCATTATGTGACCAGGTGTAAACAGCCTCTTAATGTGTCTGTTAATATTAAGCAATAAGATGTGTATTTGCTGATCCCTCCTCAAGCGGACGACACTACTAAATGCAGATGTAAAGGAAGTCTAAATAAATTTAACTGCATTTAAGGTTTGAATAACCAAAAGACATCTTCTACAACACCAGCTGTAAAAACATGCACAATACAGCTCTTTGAGACAAGGGCCAAGTTATAATGTATGTTGTTATTATGTATGTACATCATACACTTTAAAATCCAAAAAGTTAAGGTAACTCAAACCATTTGAGGAAAACAATTGCAACAAACCATTTAAGTTCAAAGACTGATCCTAATAAATACTGTGAACTTAATCCATTTGAGTAAACAAAGCAATTTGAACAGTAAAATCCAATAAATGAAGAGAACTCAAACTAACCGAGTACTGTAAAACCCAATAAATAAAGGCAACTCAACCGTTTGAGGAAACCGATTGCTACAAACCATTTGAACTAACTTGAAAAAACTAATCAATACGAGTAATGTGAACTTACTAAATTTAAGCTGAAAAATGACTTTTCCTAAACTTATCGTCCCATGCCTAGTAGCCACATGGGAGAAATAAACAGTAATTTACTGGAATAGCAGTGTGCATATACTCAATGTTCTCTTGTTTGCATGATGCAGTGTTGTGCATCTCGTCTACTGTGAGACCCTCTTAATACCCTCTCTCTCTATTTTCCTAATCTCTTTCAGAGCTCTGATGGGAACAGCAAGCAGTCTCTCTGTGGATGAAACCTCTCTCCTGCTCAATCAATCAGGAGTTGACCTACTTCTGACCAAATTGCCGTATCCGGCAGGGCTCAGTGGCAGACAGGCTACTTTAATGCAGAGACTCTGCTCCGGTCATCAGGAGGCCAGTCTGGGCTGGGGTCTGGGACAGACTGCGGGCTCTCAGGCATCCAGAACTCCAGCATTGCCCGTCAAACTCTATCAAACCCTTTTGTTTGCCCTGCCGGGAACACCTGTGTTTAGTGCTGGAGACGAGCTCGGACTGAAGGCTGGGGTGAGGGTGGCATTCATAAGATAAAATAACAATACATGGATAAACATTTACTGTACTCATGAGGTATAATTTCACCTTTACAGGAGGCCATGTGGGAAGACGTCAATTCAACAGCAGAGGTACATTTTTGATTGATCACATTTTTACTCTTGGTTCTGTTCACTGTCGTGTTTGCATGTTTGTAAAACACCTGCGCTTTCTGTCTTTTGCTTTGATTCTTTTGGCTACACAGGAGGAGCGAACAGCAGTGCGTAACTTCTTTAAAACACTGAGTGATTTAAAAGGAAAAGAGCGATCACTCCTGCATGGAGAATATGTCAACCTTCACAATTCTCCCACTTCATTAGCATTTCTCCGTCTGTGGGACCAGAGCGAACGCTTCATGGTGGCCGTGAACTGGGGAAATGACTCTATTTCTATGACTCCGACCAATGACGATCTGCCAGCTGAAGCTCGGGTTCGTGCCACCACAGATATAGAGAAACTAGCAGTGGACAGCAAGGTGAAGTTAGAGAAGTTAGAGCTTGGGTCCAAACAGGCCGTTCTGCTGTCTTATCCATTCCCTGGCTAGACACACACAGACACTGTTTAAAAGGATAGTTCACTCCAAAATGAAAATTATCTCATTATTTACTCCGCTCCTACAAACCTGTTTGAGTTACTTGTTATGGTTGAACACAAAAGAAGATATTTTGAAGAATGTTGTAAACCTTTAGCCATTAGTATTTTTGTTTCCTACTATGTATGTCAGTGGCAACTAGTTCCTTCAAACTGTTTGAACACAAATAAGAAACTCATACAAGTTTGCAACCACTTGTGGGTGAGTAAATAATCAGTAAGTTTTAATTTTGGGGTGTACTATCCCTTTAATGTCTCTGATCAGTTTCAACACTGTGCACGAGTCTGGAAAGAGTGAAACTAGGAGTACAATGATTTTTGAGTAGGAGAGATTTTATTAAAAGGTTATTTGTATTCTCTAGCGTGGTACTATTAGAAGCTCTAACTTTAAAGTAGTGAAAGATTTGTCACAGCTGTTGTTGAATAGAAGCTGATCTCTGTACAGAGACTCTAAAGCTCCTGGAATAATAATAAATAAAATGGCAAATGAGGATATATTTGGTGTTTTGTGTGTAACTCTGTCTACTTTACTGAAAGTTGCTCCCTCAAATTCATTTAGTTTTTTGTTGTTGCAGTCTACAATTCATACCCAGAGCAGAAAATATCCACAAGATCTTTAGATACTCTCAATTGGTAACAAAAAATAATAATAATTTAAAAACTACATAAATACTTAAAGTCCACATAAACCAGAAACTCCAGCCGTTTTTTTTTCATAGAGAAACTGAATATTAAATGAGAAAACAGTGGGCGTGGCTTGTTTTTTTCTACTGCAAGCTAGTTGGATGTAAAGTAGGCATTTCATTCATAAAGATGGGGAAAAGCGTTTGGGGAGAGTTATTACAACCTAACAGACACCTCCTGCTCGCCATTTCTGTTTGTTGTCAAAACTGACAGTTGGAGAAGCGAAGTGTTAGCCACAGCCAATTCCTAAGATAAATATGTCATCTAATAAATTAACTGAAAAAAAAATCAATTAAAGATTATTAGTGCAAGCTATTATTCTTTTCTTTTCTTTTTTTCTTCTGCACGGATAAATTGTTCATTTCAAAGCTAGCAATGTGAGTCAACAAAAACATATGGTGAGTTTTGATTTCGGGTGAAGCAGTGGCGCAGTAGGTATTGCTGTCGCCTCACAGCAAGATGGTCGCTGGGTCGATCCTCAGCTGGCGTTTCTGTGTGGAGTTTGCATGTTCTCCCTGCATTCGCGTGGGTTTCCTCCGGGTGCTCTGGTTTCCCCCACAGTATAAAAACATGTGGTACAGGTAAATTGGGTAAGCTAAATTGTCCGTAGTGTATGAGTGTGTGTGTGGATGTTTCCCAGAGATGGTTTGCGGCTGGAAGGGCATCTGCTGCATAAAAAACTTGCTGGATAAGTTGGTGGTTCATTCCGCTCATCCACTCATTAATAAAGGGACTAAGCTGACAAGAAAATGAATGATGAGTTTTGATTTCATGGGGACTTTAAACAAACAAAAACTGCCATTCTTTAAGCATTTGTGAATGTTTTATTGTGTTGCTTTTATGAATACATTTTTACTTGGTGGGTATAGGTTTTTGTCTGCAGGGAAATGCCTATTTTTAATATGGGATTAATTAAGCTGCTATAGGCATCTGAGCTACCATTCAAATGTTATTCACTCATATATATATAGTTTTTATATATATAGTTTTAGGAAAGTCTGCTTCTCTACTGTGAATATAAACTGTTTTTTTTTTTTTTTTACTTTCTTATTAAACTCTCTACAGACTAGAGTAATGCAGTTTAGCAGTTACCGGATTAAATATCATTTTAAAATGCTCTAAAATAAAATTCACGTGTAACCGTATTTCAGAGCATTGCTGTTATTTTTAGCTACCAAAAGCAGTCTGGGTATAAGACTTATTTTAAAAAAAAAACACAACAAAAAACCTTACTAACAACAAACCATTTGAATGATGTACATGATGCAAAACAATCAAATATAGGGATCATGTTTGACTAATCTTCAGTTAATCAGGCTTTACTTAACAAGAGCTGTTAGGTATTGTTGAGGTAATAGCTGATGTTGGCCACTAGAGGGCACTTTAGTCCTGAATATGCACAAGCTCACAATTACATTTTAAGCACCAAATGTAGACTGATATTAGGAGTTGGCACCTTTATAATAATGCACAGAAATCAATGTCAATACTTTTTATGTCAAACCCAACAACATCTAAATGTCATAAACAATCCAAAATAGCAACCGATATCAGCAATTTTCAGTATAAGTAATGTATAAGTACAGGTTGTCTTGTTCCTACTGTATGTAATACTTATTTTCCTTCAGAGCAGAATAAACTGCCAACTATTTCAGCATATGTTTTACAGTGAATGCCCTTCCAGCCACAACCCAGTACTGGGAAACATTCAAACACTCTCGCATTTATACCTTCTTTCTAATATTTGTTTCTGAAATTCCAGCAGACCGGGTGGGGGTGTGGGGGGGGGGGGGGGGGGGGGGGGCATGTGGAATCGGGGGTGAGGTGTCTGAATATCACAGATTTCGGGCGTCCCCTGCGATCGGATATACTATACCAAATTTGGCGACCCAGGGGTGGTACTGTAACAAAACGCTTAGGACCAGTGGGGTGGGGGGTGAGGAGCTGAAATTGCAGGAGAATTAACAAAACAGGAGAGTGGCGGGAGATGGGTCTGAAATACAGACTCCCGGGAAAAACAGGAGTGCCGGCAGGTATGATTCACACTCATACACTACGCTATATTTGTTTACCCAGTTCACCTATACTGCATGTCTTTGGACTGTGGGGTAAACCGTAGCATTAGGAGGAAACCCACGCAAACTCGAGGAGAACATGCAAACTCACAGAAATGCCAACTGACCAAGTTGGGACTCAAACCAGCAACCCGCTTGCTGTGAGGCGACAGTGCTAACCACTGAGCCCCCATGTCACCCCCCCTATGCAAAACATGAAATTATATTTTATACTAGTTTCAGTATCAGTGTTGCATGTAGCAAGATAAAACAGATGTTAACCTAAACCGTGTGATTGCTCAGGCCATTTTCTCAGTGATGTACAGAAGTCTAGTCACCTGCTTTTGGAATGAAATGAAATCTTGCGGCCTCCTCAAAGCGTACACTACAGAAACAATAAACACACTTGGAAAAAATAGATAAAGGCAGTTCCATCTGGTTGCACTCTCCCATGTTTGTTTCTGGAAAGCAGGATATCAGATGGGCTTAGGAAGGTCCACCCAGACCCCCGCAGCGCATCTGTGAACCCCAGGCCCTCCTGCGGAGCGCTGACAAAATAAACTCTCTCTCTTCCCCCTCAGCTGCTATTGTTCGTCTTAAACTGAAGGAAGGAGACAGAATAATAGTGTGTCTTTGAGACTGAGCTTCACAGTTGTGTCGGTGCACCTTCCTGTAATGGATTAAAAAGACTCTCTGCTTCTATCTAGAGGGTGAAGTGGACTTGAATGAAATCTTTGTAGACACATTCACCATTTCTTTGTACTGTTATTTACAATTTTTGGCCTGTTTATTAAACAGAGTTCTTGATTCTGATTGGTCAATAGCTAATAGTAGTTTTATTTATAACTGCGTCGCTGAACAGTTCTGTGCATTACTGAGCAACTCATTTAATGTTTAATATATAAAAATTTTGGGTGTAACGGTATTTGTATTTGTCCCAAATCGTGTCAATACTGGGGTGACTGTTAGGTTCATTCACTCCCACAATGAATAGTCAGTTCAGATGAGCGGTCACTGGAGTAATATAGAAAACCACAGAACTGCAACAACTTAGCAGCCATTTACAAAAAACACATCTGAAAATGCTGAAATGGTTCAGTCATGTTGCAGAAGAGCATCTCTGAATGCACAACACATCCAACCTTGAGGTGGATTGGCTACAGCAGCAGAAGACCACACCGGGTGCCACTCCTGTCAGCAAAGAACAGAAAACTAAGGCTACAATTCACACAGGTTTACCAAAAGTGGATAATAGAAGTTTGGAAAAACGTTGCCTGTAACGATGAGTCTTAATTTCTGCTGCCACATTCGGACGGTCGGGTCAGAATTTGGCATCAACAACATGAAAGCATGGATCCATCCTGCCTTGTATCAACAGTACAGGCTGCTGCTGGTGGTGTAATGGTGTGGGGGATATTTTCTTGTTACACTTTGGATCCATTACTACCAACTTAGCATAATGTCAACGCCACAGCCACAGGAGAATTGCTGCTGACCATGTCTATCCCTTTATGATCACAGTGTACCCATCTTCTGATGGCTACTTCCAGCAGGATAACGCACTGTCATGAATCGCAAATCATCTAACACTGGTTTCTTGAACATGACAATGTAATCAAATTGTCTCCACAGTCACCACATCTCAATCCAATAGAGCATCTTTGGGATGTGGTGGAATGAGAAATTTGCATCATGGATGTGCAGCCGACAAATCTGCATGATGCCATTATGGCAATATGGACCAAAGTCTCTGAGCAATATTTCCAGTACCTTGTTGAATCTTTGCCATGAAGAATTAAGGCAGTTTTGAAGGCAAAAGGGGGTCCAACCCAGTACACCCATAAATAGTATCCTCACTTCCCCTCACAGCAAGGTCACTGGTTTGAGCCTCGGCTGAGTTAGTTGGCATTTCTGTGTGGAGTTTGCATGTTCTCCCTGCGTTCGCGTGCGTTTCTTCCGAGTGCTTCGTTTTCCCCCACAGCCCAAAAACATGCGGTACAGGTGAATTGGGTAGGCTAAATTTTCCGTAGTGTATGTGTGAATGAGTGTGTATGGATGTTGCACCTGAAAGGGCATCTGCTGTGTAAAAACATGCTGGATAAGTTGGCAGTTCATTCCGCTGTGGTGACCCCAGATTAATAGAGGTACTAAGCCGAAAAGAAAATGAATGAAAGTACACATTTAGTTACGTTAAAGGTGTTTTAAGATGGTGATATATTACTTTTATCCCAACACTGATTAAAGATCGGTCAATAAATTGTTATGAACACTAATGAATGGGTAATTTTAAGAGACGCATAGAAATAAGTAACAAGTTTAGTTTATATATTTAATGTTATAAAAGCTTGCAATTAACCCCAGCAACTTACACCATCAATATATTAGATTCATTTCTTCTTTTTTTGAAAAAGTATTTGTGTGAGCTCCACTGAGTGCATTGTGTCTGACATTGCATCTCTGACTGAGGAAATCTCAGCTTGCATCAAAGGCCACATCCAGATACATTTGCAAAAATAGACATAATCACTTGTGATGAACACGTCAGGTGGTTTGTGTGTTTAAAGCATGAAGTGAATGTTGAATCAATTAAACCTGTAACCAAACTGAAGTCTTGTTATTATGATATTGTAAAAAAAATCTCTATATTGTTTATACAGTGTAACAACTATTAATTTGAGCTAATGCGTTAACTTCAATCCAAATACAAATATATTATACATATACAACATATTACAGTATTGTGCCACTGTACATTGTGTCATGCTTGAAGGTTATAGCTCTATTCATTGAGTGTATACAAAAATAAATTTAAACTTCAGTGTAGTCTATTTGGTTGTGTAAATATAAAACAGTGGAAGAACAGTGTTGTTCCTGGACCAACTAAGATGTTGATCAGGAACATGTCCTACTTCATGAAATCACTAACCAGGTATAGAATAAATAAACGAAAAAAAGAAAACCCTACAACTGTACATTACATGTCCTAAATAGGCCCATAGTTTATCCTGAACGACTCTATAACTCATTTTGAGTATAAAAAACAATTAGAGTAATTTATTTTTACACTGAGAGTACAGTACTGTGGGAATGTTGGCTGTGAGGGGCGGGAACAGAAGAAGTGGTCTTCATAAACGTGCACTGACCAGAAAACTGCTTAGTGTTCTGCCCGACAACACAGAGGAGAACTCAGCTAAACTAAAGGTATTTAACCATGCATTCTTCTTTTTGTATTAAGCCATTGATTTATTGGTCATTATGTGTATATATATATATATATATATATATATATATATATATATATATATATATGTGTGTGTGTGTGTGTGTGTGTGTGTGTGTTACGGCTTGTTGTAACTTTGTTGCCTTCATGTTGCTTATGGATAAATTAAAAAAAAAAAAAAAAAAAAAAAAATATATATATATATATATATATATATATATATATATATATACATACATACACACACACACACACACACACACACACACACACACACACACATCTGTTTATATAAAACCTTTATGCCTATATTTCATTGAAGATGTAAATTAGCTTTCTTATTTTTTTATCTGTTTATTAATTCAGTGTTTTTAGACAAACTTATATAAACAGGAGAAATGAAGGACATAGAACTGAAGGAAGTGGATCAGACAAAACAATTAATGACCCGAGAAAATGGCTGCGTGAAGGTCACCGTCCCGGAGAACACTGCAGTGAAGTACACAGGCCTCTCCAAAGACGAGCTTGTGAAAGTCGCTGGTACTCCAGGGTGCGCAACCTATATGAGCATTATCAGATTTATACATTCCTCTCAGTCTGTCTGTCTGATGTAGTTATGTTTGCCTGTCTTCTGCAGGTGGATTCGGATTCGTTGGGCTTTGTTGGCTCTTTTTTTTCTTGGTTGGGTTGGCATGTTAGCTGGAGCAATAGTAATCATAGTACAAGCTCCACGCTGTAAACCCATTCCTGAAATGCACTGGTGGAATGAAGGTCCTCTGTACCAGATATCTGATGTTAATGCCTTCACTGAGAGTGGACTGAAAGGTGAGATAAAAGGAATAAAAATCTCCTACCTGTTTATCATTTGGATATCATTATTAAAACTATCAAATCACAGTCTATGTTAGGTATTTTTATAAAATATTAACTTGCTGTTTTTTGTTGTTGTTGGTTTTAAAAATTGGAATAAAATATCCACACCCACACAAACTAATTATATTTTTTGGGTCAATGATTCTAAACACTATTCCTGGTTTGTGCAGTCAGATTATCAAAAAAGTGTGAGTGTGTGAAGTGAAAGCAGGCTAAGGGCTCAGCCTTTCAGTGCTTTTTCTTTTCTCCTCTGTAGGACTGGAGGGAAAGCTGGATTATCTGAGCCAGATGAATGTGGCGGGTGTAGTTCTGGGTCCGATACACTCCTTGAAAATTGACCAGCTAGATACACTAAACCTGATTTCAGTTCAGTCTGAAGTTGGCACTGAGAATGAGCTGGAATCTCTGCTGGGCCTGGCTCATAAAAAAGGTGAACTTAAAATTTCCCTGAGTAGTGTTTTGACACTTGAACAAGCCTTCACTAACAGTCTTCAAATACACCATGACATGTTTAACATTTTAACAAGGAAAGTTAATTTATAAAGCACATTTCACACACAATGCTAATTCATTAAGTGTTATCATAAACAATAAAACAAACAAGAAAATAAAAACGATTAAAAGAATAAATAAACAGATTAAAATGTGAAAAAAAGGAATGAAAAAGAAAGAAAGACATAATAGTTAGTAAATAAATTAACTAATGGAACTATATTGTAAATTGCTACCAGTGGTGGAAAGAGTACTGAAAAATCGCCAACTGGCCAAAAGTGTAGTGCGAGTAGAGTAAAAGTATCTGTAGTAAATCAAACTCAAAATATGTATAAAAAATAAAAAATTGCCCTTTCAAAAGTACTCAAGAGTTGCGAGTATTAAGCTGTGAAATGCTGATGCGCTTATATGAAATTTGTGCATGTGTGTGTGTAAACGTAACATTATGTAGTGCATTTAGTCATTGTTTAGAACTATTTGGCAATTTCATCCCAGCAGGCACAGCACAGACGTTAGATTGACGTCGTACCCCAATGTTGTGGGATGTTGCATTATGTTTGGAAATGGAAATCGGGTTGAAGTCAGAACTCAATTTAAGGCCGACATCAATGTTCAACGTCGGACAGACTTTACATTTTGGTTACTTTTCAACGCAACCTAAAAACTACAAAATATCAAAATCTAATGTTGTTACAGCTTGACGTTGTGTGGACGTTACCCAGTGCTTCATTTGTAAATTAAGAGGTCCCAGAACAGATCGGAGTAACAGATCCACAGGTTACCAGAAGAGGGAAAGGGGTCGTGGAGGAAAATGAAGAGCGGGGCAGGCCTGCGTGTGAGGGGGGGAGATCAGTAAAATGAGATGCCGGACCAGATTTCAGAGGTTCAGGATCCGCCTTGTTCCAGCACAAATTAAGCCCTGCGCTACGACTAGGATGTCTGGGAACACTATGGTGTTGGGTTTTGGTTGCCAAACTTGACGAGTAAATATCAGTGTTTGACCTCAATATGATGTTGGTTTAAAATGTTGGCCAAACATTGGTTTTTGGTCACTTTCCACCACAACCTAAAATCAACAAAATAACAACGTCATTTCACATCATTATTGGAAGTCAATTTAACAATGTTCTTAGACACTGGAGACCTAAATCTAGCCTAATGTTAATGTCTTTGTGTATCTGCTGGGATTAGTGATATGCAGTCTAAACAGACTCTCGGTCATTGAGTGTAAAGATTTTGGACTGAATGCTTCCAAACGATTTGCTGGATTTATAAAGCGCCCATGTCTTGAAATTCTTCAGTATGATGTGATTGCCTGTCCAGTGAAATCCCACATAGATAGTATCGCAAGACTGATTTTTCTACTAAGTAAAACTAAATAAAGTAGTGGCTGCAGGTTAAAGGAAAATAGTGGAGTAAAAGTACCAATACTGCAGTAAAAAAGTACTCGAGGGAAAGTAAAAGTACATATTTTTAAAAGTACTTAATAAATTACAATTCCAGAGAAAAACTACTCAATTACAGTAATTTGAGGATTTGTAATTTGTTACTTTACACCACTGATTGTTACTGTATATAGTATTTTAATAAGACGTTTTGTAAATGCATTTAAGTTAAATTATTTTTATAAATATTTATATATATTAAACATATGAGAACAGAACTTTAAAAAATGTCCTGCTCTCTCTCTCTCTCCTACTCTCCCTGGCTGTTTGACACTCTCCCTTTCTCAGGTATCTTCATAGTGCTGAATTTAACACCCAACTACAACAAAACTTCAGCCTGGTTCAACAATTTCAACGCTGTTGCTGAGAAAATCAAAGTAAGTACTGATAAGGAAGAGGAAACTGTGAAGGGAGGCCTATTTATGACGGTGAACACAGGGAGATGAAAAGATAGTGAGGGAACCAGCAGATTTTAGATATTAGAAAACGTGACACAAACCTATACATAACTTTTTACTTGTAATTTTAGGATGCGTGTACATATTGGTTGGATAAAGGACTCGATGGCATTTTCTTGTCTGACCTGAATGAAATCCCAACAGACGCCTGGCCATCTATAAAGGAAATATTCAACCGAAGCGACGCGACTAAAGAAGTGTACGTACTGTACTGAATGTGTATCTGCTAGTACTTCATGGTCTGCTGCTGTGTAATGAAACAGAGACGCCCTGCGGTCAACTGTGGTACTGCCGCCTGCTCCCTCGCTCTATATTTTTATTTCTTTTTATTTTAAACTGGGTTTCTGCAGGTTTATAATGAAAAGAGTATTACTATCCGCATCAAAAATGTCAATTTTAGTTATTAATTATACCCACATATTTAAAATAATGTGTCAATACAAGCAAACTCTGGTTTTATAGATGCACTTTTTAAACATAACTTTACTGCAAAAAAGGTTAAATATATGCCAAACTTTCTGTCCAGATCAGTGTCCTCACGATAGATAAATGGAGAACTTTTAAAGTGATATTATTGTAAGGAAGATAGTTAAACTATAATGGTAAATCGAGTTAAAAATGAAACTATTTGTCAAACGTTCTGCTGAGATGGATTGCTGGTGTTTGGGTGGTTTTAACCTGATTAAGTAGCTTTTTTATTGAATTAGGAAAATTAGGACCCGTTTAAAATGATTTAACACCTACAACACAATATTTTGGTAGATATATAACAGTTTTTTAGGCCTAAAAGTTAGTTTTCGCAGTTTAAGACACCCTGTTTGAAGCATGAACTCAGACCTCTCCGTCTGATCACTTTCAGAGCTCTGATGGGTTCAGTCAACAGTATGTCCATCAATGATATTTCTGTCCTGCTCAACCGCTCTGGTGTTGACCTGCTCCTGACTGGACAGCCTGATCTGAGTGACTCCGGAGAGAAACAGGCCCAAATAATCAAGGAGTTCAACTCCAGTATCCAGCAGACAAGTCTAGGATGGCGTTCGAGACAGGATCCGGGGACTCTAGCTGCAGAATTTCCAATCAGGCTCTATCAAATTCTGCTGTTCACCCTGCCAGGAACTCCTGTGTTCAGCGCTGGAGAAGAGCTGGGGCTGAAGGCTGAGGTCAGAACACTAGTAAATTAATAAGTGGTTTGGGTGCCATTGCAGTTAATGGGCTGGAACGGGAACTAAAGGTGTCACTTTGTACTGGAATTTAAATATGGCAGCAAAAGAATTAACACTGTTCACATTTTGCAAATTCATCCCATAGAAATGTTAAAGTACTGGTTGCACTATCCAGTAACCAAAACTATAGGATTATTTATCTAATAATCACTGTATTACTTGTGATTTCTGTATTTCAATACTGAATGTAACAAAGCAGGCATAGCAAAAATGTCAACATCAGCAGGTCAATAAAAAGGATATGTAAATTGTGCAAAATGGCAAATTTCCCAATATAAAAATAGACCTAAAATAAATTAATGGATGTTCAGTGTCCAGTGTTCAAAATATAGTTACAGTCTATAATGCTGAGTTATTAGTGCTGTGAATTATATACAGTTGAAGCCAGAATTGTTAGCAATTCTGGCTTCAACACATTTTTAAACAGATTTTTTTTAACTGATTTCTGATTTATTTTATCTTTGCCACAATTATTTTAGTAGTTATACAAGTATTTAGCTGAAAGTGAATTTTAAAGGCTTTTAAATATGTTAATTAGATTCTGTGGCCAATCAGGTGGAAAAAAAATTAAGGGCCTAATAATACTGGCCTTAAAAATGAAAGACTTTCTCCAGATGTACATATTTAAATATATATTATAAAAATATAATATACGTGTATATATAATATATGTGTATGAAGTTTATTGAGAGTGTGTAAATTTAGACCAGTTTTAGCTGGAAAACAACAACAAAACAAAAAAAGTTTTTTCCTTTAAGGATCAGCATTATACAGTCAAGATATTGTCGAGCTAGCTCACAACTAACTACACTCCATTTAACCCACACACACAAACATATACAGTGCTCAGCATAATTGAGTACACCCCATTTTGAAAATGAATATTTTTAATCAATTTCTCAATGAATAAGCAGTGTATTTTAGTGCATTTATACAAAACAGATTTATTAAACAGATATATTCATTAAAATATAATTTTAGTCACCAAACATATTTAGAAATATAAAGATAAAACAAGTAATTTCAAGCAAAATATTGCAAAAAAAATTACAACCTACAAAATGTCAACTCAATTTTTTTGCTTCTCTTGATTTTTCCTCTTTTTTAAAATTTGTATTTAATATTTTTGTGTAACATATAAATTTAGGTATAGTAATTTTTAGACTGTTATTGCAAGTTATTTTGTTAGATAAGCTGCAGATTTGACTTCAGTACTGACTAATCTAATGTATATGCAGAAATATTTTAAAGCATGGTATAGAAAATATTTATTTAAATAAGATATTTGTGAGGGTGTACTCATATATGCCGAGCACTGTATATATGTACATATATAAACTGTCTGAGCAGGACTGATAAAGTTGATAACTGTCATAATGATCATTTAAGATTTCTTTTACAGGAACAACTTCAAGCACTGTGGGACTTGGAAAATCCAGTTGAAGAAAAAAATGCTAAAGCAAAGGTGCTACATTTTCAATATTATTGACAAGGCTATTCATAAGTACAGTAGCTGTGAGCTCATTGCTGTACTAATTATAAATGTAAAACTTAAGCACTGAGTTCTGTTCTTTCCATCATTTACTCATTCAGGCTCTGCAGGAGGAGAGACTCGCAGTGCGAAACTTCTTCAAAACCCTCAGTGACCTAAGAGGAAAAGAGCGCTCGCTTCAGCACGGAGAATATGTTGGCCTCAGTAATTCCAAGTCATCATTAGCATTTCTCCGGGTCTGGGATCAAAGCAAACGCTTCATTACTGCCCTAAACTGGGGGGATAAGCCTGTGACCATGAAGCTGACTTACAGAGACCTGCCGGCTGAAGCTCAGGTTCTGCTCTCCACAGACACCAGCAGTTTAGCCCTGGAGAGCATGGTGTCCGTAGAGAAGTTACAGCTCGACCCCAAACAGGCTGTTCTCTTGACTTATTCTTATGCTGGTTAGACACACAGTGTACACATGCTCATATTAACTGTCTTAAAGACAGTCTTAAAGAAAAAAATGACCATTTTAATGCCATTTTGGTTCTTGAAGTTTAATGGTTATTGTCAAAATGTGTTTAAATCAAATTCAAAGTGATTTGAAATGATTTTTCATTGTCAATCATTTACATAACTTTAAATTTTGAATTAAAAAAATTAATCTTTTCATGTGTACTTTGTTCTTATTCATACAAAACCTCCCTTAAATATATCTATAAATCTGATATTTGCGTCAAAGATGAAAGTTGTTGGTCTGTACATCAAATAAAATGTACAAAAGTAATTTTATATGCATAGAACATGGTTAATATTTTAAATAACTTTTTGGGGGGTGGGGGGTGGGGATCTAAATAGGTGTGAAACATTATTCCATAAAATCACTGGAATTAAAAATATTTGTGTAAAAATGAAAAATTTATTCTGACCTGTACTCATAACAATTTCTCAAATAATAATTGATTAAACTAAATTTACCTTTTAATGTTTAAAAACTGACTAAATGGGAAAGCCGAGTGGTTTAAAATATAGTGGCGAAATTATCAAAGTTTTAAAATCACATTTATTTATTATATTTGGGAAGGTTGCATCATGTTGATCCTTAAATATAGTCTTTCATTATATCATCAAATCCTTCTAAATAACTACAGTGCTCAGCATATGAGTACACCCCTCACAAATTTCTCTTTTAAATTGATATTTTATACAAGTATAAGTATAATGTATTAATATAAGATACAACATTAAATGTTGCATATACAACAGATTAGTAAGAACCGAGCCAAACCTGGAGCTAATCTAACAGAACAACTTACGATAATGGTCCAAAAATAACTACACCTAAATGATAAGTTAGGGAAAAATATTCAACAATAAAAAAGAGGGGGGAAAAAATCAAGAGAAACAAAAATAAAATATGAAACTGAGAAGTTTTGTAGTTATTTTTTACTTTTTTGCAATATCCTGGTTGCCACATTTTCATGGACACCAGATTCAAAAACTTTCAAGGACTTTTTAAAGCACCATTAATTTTAAATTAAGCAAGTTCATAATTCATACCATGAGCTTATATAGCATCATGAAAGTCCTCACTGTACTTAACGTTTCACTTAAACTTAATATTTACATTAAAATTGTCAATTTGTTGAATTCAATAATTTTATTTGTCAGTATTGTACCCGAATTAAAATTAAGATTTTTAATTTAAGAAAGTTTTGTTCTGCTTTCAACATTTGAGTTCAGTTGTTGAAATAAACCCATAAACGAATATAATTTCAATTTTAATTCAGTCCTTTTAAGGACCTGTGTTTGCTTTTAAGTACTTTCCAAGCCTTGAACCCATATGTCTAAAATTCAAGTACTTTTAAGAAGTATGGGAACCCTACAATATATCACTTGAATTTAAACGTATTATCTTTTATATTTCTACATGTGTTCAGTGACTAAAATAATATTTTAATAAATATATCTATATTAATATATTAATAAATAAATCTGTTTTGTTCAAATGCACCAAAATATATTACCTAAATTCACTGAGAAAGGGATACAAATATTCTTTTTCAAAATGGGGTGGACTTATTTATCTTGAGCACTGTATTAACATTTTGAATATAAAGTTGGTGTCCCCTGTAAACTGTGGTAAAAAAAAAGAAAAGTATGATAGTAAAAAAAATAACAATAAAAACATATTCTAATAATAAAAAGATATTCTAATTAAAGAAGAAAAAAGGCTGTATAGCACTTTGTTTTAAAGTTTAAAAGAATGTTTACCGTATGCACTTTCCTCTTTTTAAATCTTCGTATTTAATAATGCAGTAACGGGTCTTGTTTTGTGTGGCGGTTTATCTTCAATTTTTTTTCCTTGTGATTTTTTGCACACAATTCATAATTGTTCTGCGCCTGTCTTGGCTGTATGCCATTTGTCGTTAATTCTCAGGGCAGGAAAAGGAAGACTATGAAGTCAACAGGTGTGTGTATGTGTGTCATGAGCGATCATGATATGTACTATATAAAACTGTATTACTTCCTGCACGCTTCAACTTGTCGAAGGAGGAACGTTTTCTTCCAGCATCTAAATGTTGAATGCGGTCTGCAGGATCAGTTCAGCTCTGTTATAAAAATAATTAACACAAGGATTTACAATCACTATAAACTTTTATAAGAGAAGTACTTTTACTTTTGTAAGAGAAGTATATTTGTTTATAACATTAAAGATTTGGTTATTTTGGAATTTAACCTGTTTAATTTTTATGTTGATCTACTGTTGAGGTCATAGGTCAGATCTGAAATGGTGTAGCTCGTTTTTTGTCCTACCTTTTCTTTCTGCAAGTCTCGTCACATTTTCTTCAGCACTGAAGACTGATGCTGCTTTTGAATCTTCAGTGTGTGAGACAGAAAGAGATCTTATAGAAAAGATCTTTGTCTAATTTGGATTGTGAATTTCCCTGATATATGTGGTTGTGAAGGTGTTCGCGTGTCCTCCTACAGATATCAGAAGAAGAAAATTGATATCTACAGTTGTCAAGCTAAAAAATGTATGCAGTTGGAGTGAGAAGCCATCAAAACCCTTTAAAATACAAGCAATGGGTTTTTGTAATTTCTATTATTTTTATTATATATAGGAACTTAAGATAATTGATCTAACATTTTCCCTTTCAATTCAGCACTCTTTAACTAATAATATGATGAGCATTGTTCAAATATAGGCTTTATTAATGTAAGTGAAGGCTACAATATAAAAGATAATCAAAATAATGTAAAGGGATCACAAAAATGTTAGGCGAGGAAAAAAAAAACAAGTAAGGGAAAAACATCCAGGTCAGTAGATGTTCAGATTAAAAACTGAACAAAACAACACAGTTAACATCTTTTCCATATTTCACAGACGTGTTGTGCTGTTTCCAGTGTTGGGGAAAGTTACTTTTGAAAGTAAAGCATCACATTATTGAGTTACTCTCCTAAAAAGTAATTTGCATTCCTTAGTTTCTTTTTAAAGGAAAGTAATGTGTTACGTAACTTTTAAGTTACTTTTTCATGCCTGGCTGTGGCTTGATCTCTTTCAGGGTTTTTTTTTTTCTTTTTCTTTTTAATAGAGGAGCTTTGCAATTAACAACACAATCCATAATGTTCATTTTTATTTAAAAACACACATAAAATATAATAATGCAGGCTAAAGTGTTAATGAGAATTTCCTATATACACAGATTAAGGAAAGTTTAAAGCAATGCATTTGCTTTTTTTGGACTATTTTGTCCTATTCATTCATTCATTTATTCATACATTTACCTTTGGCTTAGTCCCTTATTTATCAGGGGTTGCCACAGTGGAATGAACTGCCAACTACAGTTAGTCAGAATTATTAGCCCTCCTGAATTATTAGCTCCCTGGTTTATTTTTCCCCAATTCATTCTTTTTCAACACATTTCTAAACAAAAAGGTTTTAATAACTCATTTCTAATAACTGATTTATTTTATCTTCGCCATGATGACAGTAAATAATATTTGGCTAGATATTTTTTAAAACACTTCTATACAGCTTAAAGTGACATTTAAAGGCTTAACTAGGTAATAAAAAAGGCAAGTTATTGTATAATGATGGTTTGTTCTGTAGACTATCGAAAAAAAAGCTTAAAGGGGCTAATAATTTTAACCTTAAAATAGTGTTTAAAAAATTAAAAACCAAAATAAAACAAATAAGACTTTCTGATGGAGAAAAAATATTATCAGACATACTGTGAAAATTTTCTTGCTCAGTTAAACATTTAGGAATTTTTTAAAAGAATGAATTCAAATGGAGGCTAATAATTCTGACTTCAACTTTATTTCAGCATATATTTTACATAACAGATGGCTCCGCAATCAAGTATTAGATTTTTTTTTTTTTTGCTTATTAGTGAAGTAAAATATCCATTCAGACAATTCCTTTCTCCTTTTCTTCCACGTGTTCAAAATAATGAGAATACTTTCACTGCAGAAATGTAAGCCAGAGTCATCATGGTTTCTGCCTGTTCCCGTGGGGAGCCTGTTCTGACTATATTCATTTTAATTCAGCAGTTTATTTTTTAAAAGCAAATTAATTAAACTAAAAAGTAACTCTGGATTAAACTTTTAAAAGTAACTCAAATATTATTACTTAAGTTTTAAAAGTAATGCGTTTGTTACTTAGAAAAGTAATACGTAACTTGCAATGTTTGTAATGCGTTACCCCCAACACTGTGTGTTTTTAAACATACAAATTGACAAATTCAGTTTAAAACTACATAACATAATTTTTCTTTAATGAAAAAAAATTTGTGATTTTCATTTTTATAATAGCTGTGTTAAATTAACTGCAATTAATCTACAATATGAGGTTTAATATAGGCTTCTTAGGTTATTGTTTTCTCTGACAAATTACATTTGCATATTTTAATATTTCAGATTTTATAAGCTATTATTGTATTAAAGGCAGTGATGGATAACAGGTCTAAAGTACGTCCAAAGGTATTAAATTTCAAAAATGACTTGGGATGTAATCGATTATTAAAAACAGGGTTAAATTAATTTACGGTTAATTAATTTCATTATTTCATATTTGTTATATTAAAAGACAATATTTGAGCTTATACAGTAAGAAATTTTGATACTATGATAATGCCTCAGACAAGATTAACATCAGCTGTTTATAGGTCTGTGTATGAGACTGTGTATGTGATATTTTAGAGTCGACCGAGACAGCGTCGTGTTTCTGGTAAAACACGACGTCGCACTCCTGAGATGACGAATTGTGGTCACAAACCTGTGTGTGTGTTACATGTATTTGTCAGATGTGTCTTGTGTCTTGTGTCTGTGTGTGTATGTATGTGATTGTGTGTCTTCTCTGTGGGGATGGGGTTTCATTTTGACTCGGGGCAAATTTTGACGGCAGTGAATCGGGTTTTTTGAGAGTTTGAAAATGGAGCCAAATTACACAGCGGGTTATCTAATTCAGCTCAAAGTTATTGGCTTATAATGCCTTCAAAATCAGGAAACGTTTCTGGTAACTTTAAACCGCAAAAACACGTCTTTCCATCTGAGTTTTGGTTTTGTACGGTCTTTATCATCTCCGCTTCTCTGTCTCTCTTCCTCCGTCTTTCTCAATAAGGGAGAGAAAGAGCACCACAACGCCCTCTCTCGCCCTGTTGATG